CCAAATTATCATTTTTTTATCAATTTATTATTTTTCTTTACCCAATTACAAATGAATATGATTTATCAATAATTATGAGTATTTTATGTATTTTATCATACTTATCAATAATTAAATTTATTCTTTGAAATCTAGGTGTGATTTTTGCTATTTATAACAAGAATATTGATGAGTACAAATAAATACTCGCTCTAGTCCCATTTATAAGACAGCTTTTAGAAGATCTATTTAGTCTCATTTATAAATCATGATGTACTTTTTTAAGTAATATTTAAAAGATATTTTCAAAATTACTCTTCATAAAAAAAAAAGTAACATAATATTACTTTTGGGATTTGTTATACAAGGATATATTTAAAAATTTACACACTTTTATTCTTTTTTTTTTTTACATTGTTATTGATAAAGTTAATAGAAATGATTTATAAAGAGGGCTAAAGAAGTATATGGGTATGCACCCAAAATCTCAAGTGCTTGAACACGTGTAATGGAGATAACAAATAACACCACACTTAACCTACCCTCTTCCACTCTATCAATCAAATCACATGAAGCAGTACACCGAAAAAAGGTTGAAATATATTCTTTGGGGGAAGCTATGGAATCTGGAGCTTTTATATGGAATTATATGGAATTGTATTTTTGAAGACAATTTTATCCTCTTAAAAAGATTGAGAAGAAGACTGTGTCCTTACTCATTTGTGGTTAATACTGGAAGAATGGAGCATGCTAAGCTCGGTCGTGATAGGGACAATTCAAAATGTAGAGCTCCTATACTTTCATGCCTTGTTCTATCGAATGTATGTAAATTACAATATGTATTCTTTTATAAAATATTTTAATTTTAATTTTTAGGCATATTTTTGTCTTTCAGCTGTAATTCTATTTTCATGTCTTACATACCAAACAAAAATAATACAAGAATTTCATCTATTTTTTTTAATATACCAAATATACTTTTAAAATTCAATTTAATTTTAATTCTGATTTCAATTCCATCAAAAACTATTCAATCATACCAAATAGGACCTTACTCATATGAACATCACATATAACTCCACTTCTCAATATATATGACATATCCTTAACTACATATACTCACAATCTTCATCATTTTCACAATAATATATCGTCACCTTTCTCACATAACTTTATACTATGCTTGTTTAACACTACAAATATCTCAAGTACCACATATAAATTCATTTCATATTATTCATTTGACATGCACATGGCCATTTCGCAACATAATCTCAACATGAGTTTCACATCACTTTTAGCAATAATTAGGGTCATTTATGTTTGATTACTACCATGATAATCAAATCAACCAACATTATCTCATTAGCTTTCTTTACACATCACATAGTTAAAAACCCATGGAATTCAACAATAATGTCCACCCACCCACACGCGCGCGCACAAGAGAGAGAGATATAAACATTTCATTTCAACAATCAACATCAATTAACAAACAACCATACAAAATAGATTCTTTTAGCTACTTCAAACCTTTAAATGGTCAAAGGTTTGATATATATAAACATTTCATTTCAACAATCAACATCAATTAACAAACAACCATACAAAATAGATTCTTTTAGCTACTTCAAACCTTTAAATGGCCAAAGGTTTATCCCTTAAGCAAATGCTTAGAAAGCTTGTTCTCTGGCTAAAATCAACGCCTAGATAATTAATCTATAATTAATTATATCTACAACCATTAATACTATTATTTACCTAATTCTAACTTCCTATTTCAACACCTAAAATATCCAAAATCCTTATTTCTAGCATTTAGGCTTACTCGTTGGGTCCGTTAACTCCCCTGAGTCCTCATAAGCTTCATTAAACTTTCAAACCATCATTAATGGCTTCCCAACCAACTCTAACAACCATATTTATTGGCATTTTAGGACGTTAATGTCCACCAACAACCACAAATGTGCAAAACCCTTAATCCTTAGTTTAGATCGCTCAAACAAATCTCATAACTCTATTTAAGTCAATGTATTTGGACCCATAACCCCTATGATCCAAAAATCAACTCCCAACACACAAACCCTAACTCTAAAATCTCATAAAATAGAGAAGAAAAAGAGGAGAAGGACTGAAAAACTTACCCTTTAGTGTTTGCTCACTTCAAAATGCTCCAAACTCTCCAACTAAATAAGCCCTAGTAGAGCTCTAAGTCTTCTCCATTTCCCTTTTATTCTTTCACTTCCTTTTCTTTTGTTTTCATATGTGATTTATGACTGTTTTTTCCTAGATTTTGTCCATGCGTTGCAATGCACGATGCACATGCCATGACATTTGGCACAAAGCTATATTTCCTTTTTCTTTCTTCCTTTTTTAGGTTTAGGTAACATGATTTCGCTCCCAACCTAAACGTGGGGCTGAAATTATAATCCAATATATTTATTAACTATCTATAACTACACACCAAAATAATTCTCTTAATTACTTTCATTTGACTTAATTAATTAGGGTTTTAATTTTTGGGATATTACAAAGTTTAATTTCAAATTTTTACATTGTCATCTATCACAAGAGCCTTAACACCTATAGTTTCCATGTTTTCATTGTTCACAGGTAACATAATTTAAGAGAAAAACTGCAAAGTTCATCTTTCAAAAAAAAAATGAGGTGGTCAAATTCTTGTTTAGTTGTTGCCTTGCATGCATTCCAAAGTTCATATTTCACATTCTTTCCCTTGTAAAAAAAGAGAATAATGTCCTCAACTTAAAAAAAAATGAAATGTGTGTTAAAAGTAAAAATTATAATTTTGCCCCTCCTTAAAATTTGTTAAAAAATAATAAAAAATATATATTTTTTATTTTCATGTGCCATATGTATTTACATTTGTTAAAAAATAATAAAAATATATATTACTTGGCAATAACTATATTAATAACATAACAGTTAATTAATGGTAGAGGGTTTTGAAAAATAAAATTAAAGGTTAGGGTTAATTTTAAATGTTTAAAAGCGATGAGGTCATATGCAACTGCCTCAAATTTTATAGGGATTTTAAATTAAAGGTTAGGGTTAATTTTAAATGTTTAAAAGCGATGAGGTCATATGTAACTGCCTCAAAGTTTATAGGAATTTTATACATTTTAGCCAAAAAAAAAATTGAAAGGTTAGGGAGATTAATTTTAAACTTTTAAAGATGACGTGGGGTTTTGTACAACTGACTCAAAGTTTGGAGAAGTTTTCTATATTTTCACTATGCTAGACAGGAGAAAAAATGATGGGAAGAGAATAGTGGAAGGGAAAAGTGGGGAGGAAATAATGTTTTTTTTTTCTACTTGGCTATAAAGAAAAAAGTGAAGGGGAGATAAATGTGGGAGGAAAATAATGTGGGACCCATATATTTTTATTTTCAAATTTTCTCTCCAAATATGGGGAGATTTTGGAGAGAAAAATTTCATTTCCAAATTTACCTATCAATTTTTTTGTTGCCACCTTTTGCTTCCTCCATTTTTATCATGATATTTATAGTGTAATTACATTTTGATAATGAACTTTTATTAAATAAGAAGTATAACTTTGTTCTATTTATGTTATATAAGCAAACGATAAATAGTAGATGACACATTAAATTTAATGTAAAAAGCATATAATATGATGATGGGATTCAGTCAAGTCCCAATCAAGATTTTGAAATTTTTAATTTTGAATTTAAGGCAAATGTCAATTTTGATGTAATTCATTTGAAAATCAAGACCTATACAATCCCTTTTTAAAATGTTAATTTGAATTTGAAATAAACTTTGAGCAATTAGTTATTTAACAATTTTCCAAAAAAAAAAATTACATTGAATAAGTTTACCACGTATTCATTCCTAATTTAGCTCAAAGTCATACTCGGTCGTTATACCATAATTTTCAACAATATTTTACCATCAACATTAATCGGCAATTAGTTCTAACAAAATTAATGGATATTAATCGGAAATTTAAATGAAAAATAATTATTTCTAACAATTACTAATATTAATCGGCAATCAACATTCAGGATAATGTAAATTTAAAATAATCATTATAGTTCATTGTGACATAATTTTCATTGCACGACAAATGAAGATACATCTAATAATTTTCATTATAATATATATCTGTATAGAAAGATATTTTATTCTATATAAAATGTAAATAAAACATAGTCTAGGATTGAAATATTATGAATAGAGAAAAAAATACGTTGAAAGAGGGAGAGATAATAATAGTAGATAACAGATAAATATATAAAATAATATTGATTAATGAAATATTTTCCATTATATATCTTTATTATTTGTAAATAAAGTCCTTCGAGGAGGTACATTATTCGTACTTCTATTTAATTGTTTATTAAAATCATACTATTTATTATCCTTAGATAGCTAATTCTCATGCGCCACGTATTACAATATTAATTAAGTCCCTATATGCATATTATTTTAAGCCGTCTTGAATAAGTAGCAATAAGTAGTTTTCTAATTCTATTAAATCAATAATTTCATGTTGGAAAGCAAGGTTGAATATGTGATACAGAGACAGGGAAGGAGGAAGAAATTAAAATATTTAACCATTTGAATGTTATAAGTTATTTTTAATATTAGGAATAAAATTTTTTTTGTGATATTCTATTTTTTATTTTAACTATTTAGTTAGATATTTGAATCAATAAAATCTCTAACAAACTCAAAATATTATGAATTTAGTCGAATGTCAACATCAAGAAATTAAAATTTTTAATTATGTAGTCGAAAATCATGGTATATAATATTTATCCAAGATATACATAATTTGTTTTTGAAATGCATATCATTATTTAGTGGTTAAAAATATGTTTCTAATTCTGCAAAGAGAAAATGTAATATACTCTGTGTCAGTGTGAGTTTCTCAACTATGCAAACCTAAGTATATAGTTTGGTGAAAATAATTATATGCCACAAATAAGAGAATAAAATTACTATGGAGGCAGACGTTTAAATTTTCAGGAAACAAAAACCAATACTAACAAATAATCTTTTATAAAATACTCAGACAAATATGCATGCATTATCGTAGGAAAAGAATCTTTACAATACATAGCTCAATTTTCAAATACTTATTCTAAAAAACTGCAAATCCTCATCACCTAACTAGGAGGATGCACACTCTATCCTGCATTAAGAGATAAAAAAGGCCTTGATTCTATGGTGCTAAGGTTTGCAAGAAGGAGTAGCCTTTCCGATTTCTATAGGGTCAACATTAATGCACGTTGCTAATGGGAGAGATCCATTTGATAATTTGATATCAACGTTGTTAAATTGCACATTCTGGCATGGTTTCTCTTTACTGCAATTCAGAACTACTGCATATTGGAACGCTGAAGTGCCTCTAATATTCTTGAATGTCACATTGCTTATCTGTATTTTTGATGGCTTCTAAAAGCCAATGAAAACATACATCAAATTTGTTAGATAAACTCACATGTATAGAAAGAAAAGCACAACAGGTTTGTCAAAAAAGACGATATATAATAAAGATATGTAAAGAAAGAGAAATAGTTGAACAAGACCTTGTTGGGGCAATCTTTTGATGGACAATACTCTTGATCTATGATGATTGGATTCTGTACGTTGATCATTGTGATGTCTTCAAAAAAAAGATTGGAGATTGAAATATTTCCTGGTTTATCGGCCCAAGTCTTAACCCTAACTCCATTAGATGTGCCATTAAGTGTGCAATTCCTAACAGTGAAGCCATCCACAGGCAGTTCTTTTGGGTTTCCTCCGAGGCTTCCAACACTAAAGCCATGTCCAGGTCCACAATTCACATTTTGGACCATTATTTGCTTATCTCCAGCACCTAATGAGACACAATCATCTCCAGTACCAATTCTAGAGTTTACAACGCTCACATTGGTGGATTTTGAGATGTGAAGTCCATCGGTGTTGATACTGTTTGCTGGAGCACTCACAGTGAAGTCATCAATTGTCACATTATTGCATCCATTTACATTCACATGAAAGCCTCTACTATCCTTTGTAGTTACGCCTCGAATAACTAAGTTGTTCACGGAATTGAATGCTAAATTCTGTTGTCATAGTCACAAGAAATCATTAGAGTTTAATGTAAATGAAAGACAAGACATAACAACACAAGATTTGTTTTCAAAGCTTTTGAAGAGGTTAAAAAAATAATTGAAAATAAATGTGAATTACATAGGGTTTGCAGGTTCCTGCGTTTTGTTTTGTACAATCATCTTGTGTCCAAGGATGGCTAACACCTTGACCATCAAAAATACCTGAACCTGATAAAGTGAATGAGTCAATGTCTGAAAAAGTAAGCCAAGTTTTTTCATTTTGGAGATCACTAGGATTTTCTGGGCCTTGGATTATTCCATCAACTTTAACTTCAATAGGAGCCTTGCAACTTCCATAGAGAGCCAAACCGTGCATCTTGAATGTTCCTCTTGGGACCATTACTATGCTGCTAACATTTGATGCACATGCATCATTCCAAGCATTTCTAAGAGCCTTCACATCCCAAAAAAGAATAAAAGAAAATTAAAGTTTACAATAATCAAAGTTATATTCTAGCTCAACAAAATTCACATAAATATATAGGAATGTGAGTAAATGACTTTACCTGGGTTATATCTCCATTAGGTACTCCACCATATGTTACTATATCAAATGTCTTGGGTACCGCGGAGATTGATGATGCTAAAAACATGAAGAAGGAACATGTTGTGATACTCAATTTCCAATACGAACAACTCATCTTGAAAGTTTATTTATTTTAGCTTTGGCTTTGCCTTTTAACAACAAACTGGAATATGCCTACATTGAAATTAAAGTAGCAAATTGTTAGATCACACATAGTCAAAGATCTATTTAACCAGAAATTATCCTCTTGTATGCTAACTATAAAGATTTTTTAATGATATTTTTACAAAGAGAAAATAGAATTTAGCAAGAATTAAAATTTAAATTATTATTTAGATGTTAGAAACTTGTTTTGAAGAAATTGAATGCATTATAATCCTCGAAATACATGACTTAACTGTGTTTAGTGTTCACAATTCACAAACAATACATTTGCACTCATAGAAAACTAGAAAAAAATAGGCTCAACTCAACAGGCCAGCCAACCATTTTTTGCGGGTTTTCAAAACAGGTTAGGTTGGCCTAAATTGTGAAAATATGCAGGTTCTAGCCTTCCTTTAAAAAAAAAAAATTATTGAGGTATGAGATTGTTGTGGTCATGCAGTGTGAATTGAACCCCCTTACTTTGTTTTTTTGCACCACCTAATCATATCCATTATATTTATAAGTTGAATTAATTATTTTCATCTGATTAATTATTATGAACATGATTCAAGGCTAGCCATTGAATTTATTGACTCTAGATTTGCAAGAACTCTAAGCGTGAAATATAAAAATAATCAAGATCCAGCAAGTATGCATATCGATATAATCATATGGCTAACTATTAGTTAAGGTTAATAAAAGACCGGGTCAAAGAGATCTGTTGAGCATATTTTATATCATATAAAAATAATCCTAGCTAAGCACACATACAGATTCAAACTCAGGAAATAACTATGGTCTAAATAATTGCAATAATATTTAGAATAATAAGAATGAGGCAGGCTGATTAAGTATTTTGGGAAGAGCTAAGAAATTGCATTTGTATAATTATTCTTTGACTTGACCAGATGTTTGTGAGTGAGGGAGTAATTTGATGACAGCTTGTAAATTTACTATATTTTAATGAAGTAAAAAACAAAATGCACACATTTTAATTTATATTAAAATAAAAAATGAAAAAAAGTAAGAGTTATTAGAGTAACTAAAAATAATAAAAAATAAATATCAGGTACAATTTTAATTTCTACATTTTTATTCAAAATTTATAAATTATTAGTTGAAATTTCCCCTTTTTTTTAAATAATCCGACTTCATAAAACATGCCTGCAAAGTTAATAGTTTTTTATATTTAACAAAAATTAATATTCTATGTGTCATTATATTTTTAAAATTTAAAATAAATTTTTATTAATTTACTGTACTAGAAAATATTTAAAGTAAAATAAATTTAAAATAAATCTTACAGGGGGTCTCTCCTGTGCTGTGCAAGCCCTTTAAATTATAATATAAAAATGATATTTTTCTTTCGTTGGTGAAGAAAAGGCTACAACCAAACCATAAAAATAAATAGCAAATTAAAGTTTGGTGTGAGACTCAATTGAGGTGGAAATGGACAACACAACAAATCAGAGGAAAGTGCTACTCTTCTTCTTCTTGTAAGAGAAAAATGAATAAATATGAAATGGAGTGTATGAATAATTCAAAAAAAAAAAGAAAAAGAAATGGAGTGTATGAAACCTGGCTCGTGCTACTCGATTCTCAATTTCCTTGTAGATAGCTGTCAAACTGTAAAAATTCTGGTTCATGTGTTGAGAGCTACCAATTAACAAATATATATATATAAGTGTGTGATGTGCCCAATGAAAATGAAAAATTTCAAATTCCAATTATGTAGTTGATCGATTCAAACTTCTAGCTGAATATCTTATAATACCTAAATTAATTAAGATATTTGACCCGGTCTATTTAATTGGAATGAGCTCAGTTAAGATATTCACCTGGAATTAGTTAAAATCTATTTAACTAATAACTAATAAAATAAGTAGCTTTTAACTCAAAACGATTTAATTTATAAAATCAAATTGTCGGTTATCTCTAGTTCAACAACATTAATTAATCAAATATTTAATATAATGGAAGTTTTACATGGATTTCAATTGTGATTTTTATTTTTTTTTATTTTCTTAATTTTTTTTCTTAAAAGGAACCATGTAGACAAACCATGCAGGTTTATATTTAATATAAAAAGATATTTACTCCTCATAACTAAAAAATACAATATTGATAATAAGTGAATAATTCAAATATTATCATAAATAAATCATCTATTGTAATTATTAAAAATTAAATAAGGTAGAAATAATATATATATATATATATATATAGGTATACTTCTAATAAGATAATTTTCTATCTTTTACTATTTAACTAATAATAAATAAATCAAACGTATTTGAAATTATAAACTAATTGTTTTTAGAATTAATAGTTAAGTGGTAAGTTCTAAATAATTCATAAATGGATATTAAAAACTAAATTAGCGGATGGCGAAAATAGTATTTGATTATAATATTGGAAGGTTGTATTTGAAAATAATATTAACGGTTATATTGGAACATTAAAACTGAATAATGTAATGATTTCAATTTCTTAGAAATCAAAATATAAAAGAAAGTATTAATTACTTTTATCCTCAGATAAAAATTGTAAGATGATGGGAATTAATATAAGGATGCAGTTGGTTACCAAAAAAAAAATAATAATATAAGGATGCAGGTATATATATTTGAAACTTCCCAATAAAAATCACCTGAATACAAAATTATGATAAGAATATTATTGTTTTATCAAATATGATTGCAATATTCTATTCTAGGATTTTATAGTTAATTTAAAGAATCTTTCCATCGAGATATTGAGATTGTATGGTTGAAGGATTTCACTATGATACATTATTTGACAAAAAAATAAAATTTAATATAAATATATGTTTGTTTATATTTTAGCAATTTTAATTTTTGTGAAAAGAAGAGGTGGAAGCCTACAGTTCAAAACTAATCTTATATAAAAGATTAATGCTAACAAAATGCGTTGTAATATAAAATTTTTTAAATAAATTTAATTAAAATATGAAATTAAAACATAATTTGTATTCTTTTGCATGGTATATATCTAATTTTTATTCATATTTTTTTGAAAATTCTGTTTATTTATCAAACATGTATGTATGAAAAAAAATAAAATATTAGTTTTTTAATATTACAATCCTCGTGAATTATCCGATCTTTAATATTTTAAAATTTCTAATTTATGTATTAAATTTTAAAATAAAGTTAATTGATAAGTTATATTTTTAGTAATTTTTAATCAACTAATATTGAATATTTAAAACCTATTTAAATTTCATAATTAAATTTTTATTGGTAATTTTGATGACTGTATAACCAGAAGATCCAAACAGAATGATTTAATCCATGGAGGTTTTAATTTTTTTTCAAGAAAATATAAAATAAAATGAAAACATATTTTTAGTATAAGGTAAAAAATTATGAAATTTTAATGTTAAAATAATTAAAATTGAATATAACTAGTTTAAATAAAATAAATAACTATTTTTATCCCAAAAATAATGGATCATCTGTAACGCTAATAGTAAATCTCCAATAGAATTTATTTTAATTTATCATAGTATATTTAATTTGAAGAAAATAAAAATGTAGAGCCTAACGTCCGCGTAAAATTTTATTATAGGCAAATTTGCAAATGATGAAGGGCTGGTTTTGAATTTTTGTTTTGTCATTGTAATGTTTATTTTCTTCTCTAGTGAATGATAGTTTTCCTTTTGAATTCCAAAAGAAGAAGAAGAGAGACTTAAATACATATAACTTTCCCCAACAAGAGAGACTTAAATGCATTTAACTTTCCCCAACTTTAGACTAACTTCATATAACTCTCCTAAAATTTGTAAGTTTAAGCTTGAGACTTTAATGTTTTATATATTTTGTCTATCCGCTTCCCTACCATTAAAATTGCAGTTCAATCTCACCACGTTAGAATTTTTGTTGTTTTTTTTTTTAATCACACACCATTTCATTTAGGGCTTAGGTGCATTTTTGTTCCTTAATTATTTTTCAAAAAGCATCTCATGTCTTAAATTATTTATCATAACAGTTCCAACCCGAAAATAATTAAAGGGTAGCTTATTTTTTCGTAACATTAAATACTATAATGTTAATTTAAGATTTTAAACTCACTTAAATATCAATCTTCCTCACGTGGAAAAATAATCTTTTAATGTAGCACTAAAGTTTAAATATATTTTTATATTTTGAATAGAAGAGTACAAATATAATTAATTAATCAATTTTATTTAACTTAATCTTAAAGTTAAACATATTGTATTTAAATAATAAATTTTCAAAAAAATTTGTATTTTTTTTAAATGCCCCAGTAATCAAAGTTGATGTGATCAGCAACACAGTGCTTGCAGAGGTTTGCTTAGAAACTGCAAAGGCAAATGGATTCACCAATATAATTGATATACAAATTATTACTCCCTTGATTTAAAAATATAAAATATTTTTAATAAAATCCTATTTTTAATAAAATAGTTAGTTATCTTCTAACTAATATCATCTTTCCACATCTAATCCTATTTAATAGGGTGTTTTACTTTAAAATAAATATAAAATGACTTATCTATTATGGACACTTTTGGTAAAAATATATTAATTACATCTCAAAACACTAAAAATACTTTATATTTTTTTAACATACAAACCTTGCAAAAATGCCTTATATTTTTTTAAGAAAGGAAGTATATTGATATAGAAGTGAGAGGCCTATGTAGCTATTGTAGTTGTAAGGATGTTTATAGGTTTAATTTGGTTTGGTTTCCAGGAAAAATCAAACCAAATTAAACCAATCGATTTACCAAAGCTTGAGATAGTTTTAGTTTTTTTTTCCCCTCTAATTGGTTTGGCTTAAATTTGGTTTGGTTTGGTTTAAGCTTAGGATCAATTTACTAAAGCTTGAGATCTAAACAGTTGTAACAGTTTGGTTTGATTTAATTTAAGTTTGAATTTTTTTGAGATATTTTTCATAATCAATATATGTACACATTTACTAGTAATTTTTAACCATTATTAATTGCTATTTCAAAAAAAAACCTTGAGGACAAATAGATATTTTTAATAATTAATTAGCACATTTAATGGTTAACAGCTAATAAATTATCTATAAAATACTTGATTATAAACTTTTAAAAAAATATAGACAACATTTAGTTAATTGTAATAGATTTTTTATTAGTGATTTACATATAACTAAACTTAGGAAAGAGAAAAAAATTACAGAAATTTATAAAAAAATATATAAAATAAATATAATAATATTTAATTTAGTTTAGTTCAAGTTTCATAAGGCAAAATCTTGAACTGAATCAAACCGATTAGTTTTGTCAAAAGAAAAACTTAACTTTATTTATAATTAATTTTGATCGGTTCATATCGATTTGGATTGGTTTTGAATGCCATAAGTGATTGGATGCATCATTAAAATACCATCATAGTTTGGTTGACTATTGCAAGCTGCTCAACAGTGATACTGCACTTAATTTTCATTGCAGACTCCAACCAGCCAGAAACAAATGGTTTTGTTGAATGGGTTGAGACGCATGTCAAACTATAATCAATTATTTGAAAGACAAAATGGATAGCCATCCTTTTGTTTTGTTTTGTTTTGTTTTTGGTTTTTTGTTTTTTGCTTTGAGGTTTCCTTATATTAATCAGAAAAAGCTTGGATTTAAGTTTGACTATGGTTTGGTGTTGGGAAGGCGGCTACTAATTCCAAGATAGGCTCTATCTGCAAGATACACATGTAATGCTAAAAAAACAATGGTAAACCTGATTTTTGATGTAATCATTTGGGTTTGGGCATTGCCAAAATACATTAACAGAGCAACAGCTAAGCATTGCACTCTAATCCTGGTATGAAGTGACCAAAAAAGGACAATTCCTGAACTTGTTCTCTGGCACCAAGTGAAGCTGGGGATGAAGTTAGATTTGCATCAGTTGAATCTGACTAAGCACAAACATATGACTGGGAAAAAAAGGAAAATATTAGCACAAGACACCTGAGTACTCGAATCTCGTAACACTCCAGTCAAGGGATAAAGTTCAAATATTCAAAACAACAAATACATGTGTTGTATATTTTTCTGATTAATGATAACACCAGAATACTGTACAGTAGTATGAATACTGATGTTTGAAAAAAATTGTACACACACACCTAAACCCCTTAATTTATACATGCTCTTTGTCAAGTCTCACCTTTCGATGTCTTGGGAAAAGAAAATAGTTGTTCCTCTAAGGCTGTGTATAGTTACTGCCATTTAATTAGAGGCCACAGAGAAGATAAGAGAAAAAGAAAGAAGTATACAATAATGCTTATCAGTACCACGAAACTGAGGTGAAGCAGCAATCTTCTCAGTATTACAACCTGAAAGTTGGTCTTAAAAAAAAAAAAAAAACCATCTTAACTTGCAAATGAAAAGTATCTCACGATGGAAAAAACAGCATCTCACGATGAAAAAGTGAGATATTTAACTAAAAAATAGGTTCATAAAGTATAACTCATTGAGTCTAGCAAAATAACTCAAAACAAACTTTAGAAAGTACATACACTTTTTAGTGTGACAATCTATCTGAAAAACGATGAAATAATCAATTATATTTATTAAAGATAAAATATACTCTAGTGCTTTATGTCATGTCAACTTACCATTTGCATGCTCATGGAACACCATGCCCCCCATCTACATCTTCTCTGGTCTTTCACGTGACCCTAATAGCTATCTTAGCAAAGTTGCCCAAAACTAATATCCTCATTCACCATTTCTAATCACTTAGCTAGAAGCCACTAGACTGATAACTGAGAGAAGGATGGAGTGAAGCAGGGGATGCGTACAATGCAGGAGGCAATGGAAATTTCAACTCCGCTCGAATTTAAGAACCAATAAGTCATGACCCAGCCTTTTCTAATACTCCCAGCACCTAGCAATTGTACTCAAGTCCTTTTTGCCAGAACATTAAGTACACGCAATAGTTTAAGATATCTTTTAAAACAACGTATTATAAGAGATAAAAACTACTTTAAATCTTGAATTTCCCTCTTTTCAAATCCATTTAGACATACATAGATTTTCTATTCTTTCTCATGTTTCTATTTCAGGGAGTTGTTCAACATGTATGTTTTCCCCTTTTATTTTTTCCTTGTAAATGCAAAAGTTTCTTGAATCTTTGAACTACTTCCATGGTCAAGGATCTCTATCATCCAACATTGTAATAAAATAAAAAGAACATTTATGCTTTAACTAAATACAACCAGATACAGAAAAAGTGAAAAATAAAATCAAGACACAGATGATTATAAAAAAATCTCCAAACAATGAATTAATGAAAAATTGTTCAATCACCACTGTTCTCTAATCAAAGATCATTAACTGGAAAGAGGGGGCAAAGACAATTAATAACTGGGTTCAAGTAAAGTTTAGTAATACAATCAACGTAAAATTTAAACATATATTTGGGCTTAGTCAAACATGATTTTAATCTTTGAACTTATTCTCAGGCACCTCTTAGATCAACCTCATTACGTGCCGTTTATCAAATCAAACACCAACTTTGGACATAGTATTGCCAACAAAAGACAACCTCCCTCGGCTTTCGGCCCAAAACTTGCATATTTTAAGGAAGCATGCAAAAGTCAAGAGAGCAACTTTTACTTCCACGAATTTGTACTTGGTCAAGCATAAAGAATGATCAACCGTTAAAAGAATTCTTAAAATCTGTAGAATCTTATAAACAATAACTTTCAAGTTATTCAACATTACAATGCCATATTAGTATGAATATGAATATAAAAATTTGAATCATGAAGCAACCTAGTATGTAGCACTTATGTTAAAAAGATGGAGGAACCCAAGTTTGGCCACTTTCTAGGAATTTTCATCATCTAAATTGAAAATGGTTTGATGCACAGGCATTTGATGAACATGGAGGGAAGAGCATTGCAGTATTTGTCCGTGATCATCTTCCAAGATGATTTTCCTATGGGGTTAGGGAAGGTGGTCACAAGGTCATTTTTACAGGCTGATGCTAGATTTGCAGAGAAATGTCCAAAGATCATAGGGACTTCTGCGTGAAAGAGAGGAATAGAATTAAGTCCCTTGGTGGATTCATCCATGACAGTTATCTGAATGATGTGCCAGTCAGGTGTGACCCAGAACTCAAACTAATCATACTGACCAAAGAAGATGAGTTTTTGATAATTGGAAGTGATGGAATCTGGGATGTATTCAGCAGCCAAAATGCTGCAGTTTTTGCAAGAAGGAGGCTTCAAGAACATAATGACATGAAACTATGCTGTAAGGAGATGGTGGATGGAGGAAGCCATAAAGAGAGACTCAACAGATAATTTAACAGTAGTGGTAGAGGTCAAGAGTCAGAAGAAGCATATCTGCCGAAGGACTTCAAAATCTCAAGTCCTTCCTGGAAAGAAAGAATATTTTTTCAGTCTGTGACATACTCCCTTTAATCCTTATTATAAGACATTTTAACCATTTCACGCATCTTAAAAAAAGTTAATTTTTCTTAATATCATAAAAAAATTGTATGTAATTTTATTTTTTCCCTTGATTTTAAATGGTATACAACTACATTAAATATCTTTACACTAATTAAGAAAAAATAAAATTGAAAAAAATAGTTTAATTATTGCAAAATGTCCTATATTTTGGACCAAAAATTACTTCTAGAAAGTATCTAATAAATAGGACTGGAAGGAGTAGCTGATTTTTTTTTTTTAGATGCTATTGTGTAATAATTATTAATTCATCACACACACAAAATATGCCTCCCTTGCATCTCTACATGATATGAATGATGTTCAACCTATATTTGAGATCATTCTTTTCTGTTAATGGGAAAGGTATTGAAAATGTAATAAAATTTATACCGCCTTGTGATTAACATTCTTTCCTGTTAAAGGGAAAGCCAGGCCGCAATATACAAGAGGATGGTAATCTATATTTGAGACGTTGTGCACAGAAATAAGCAGTGTAATAATATTTTTCTTGAGTTCAAAATTAAATCATTGTAAAATAATTGTTTTTCTACCAAGCTTCTATTAAGATACGTGGCCTTTCATGCATAATTGTAGTGTTGTTTGGAATTGCCGAGATTAGATTGGATCAAATCAAGCAAAGATATAACATGCAAAGGTACACAATGGAACTCATCTAGAACGTGAATTTCTATTTATGATTAGCTTGTTCTTCTTAAAGTTTACTAATAGACCAGGTCGTAATCTTTAATTTCTTTCTAGAAGCAGTCAGAGCAATTTCTCCCTCCCTCCCTCCCTGTCTAGTGTGTGTATTTGCTGAAGAGAGCCGAACACTGATGTGGACCAATATTTAGTAAACAGTTTTTAATGTTGAAATTTACACTCCTCTGTTTAATTTTACAAGATTGCATCAGTCAAGGTGCTGATCCAGGTCAATACAGAGAAGTATGGTTAAGATGAGCCAGGAATTAGATAAAATGAGTAGTTTTAGTAACCGAAACTATGCCAGATATACAGTTCATCCATAATGTTGGAGCATCAGACTGTCATGCTATCCCAAATACATACATACATACATACATACATACATATATATGTATATTTAGAGAGAGAGAGAGAGAGGTACTGGGGAACAAGTAGTATAAACACTCTTCAATTTAACCATTTGCAACGAATTAAATCAATCAATCTTGTATATTTCTTTCGCATCAATGAACAAAGAATGAGTAAATAATACAGAGTTGAATGACAATGATTTCAGTTTATATTTCATATCCTGACTTCTCTGCCATCTAAAACACCAATGGCTGCCCTAACCTTAATTAACAAATTTGTATATGTATTGTTCTATCTCCCAAATCATTTTCCTGCATTCATCTTATCTCTGATCTCAGTTCCTGCCACACGAACTAGGAACAAGCCAGCCAGGAAAATAGACAGAATCAGCATAAAGAAGACACTGTTCCATCCCCTAGTAGAAATATACCCGGCCAAAAGTGGCCCAAGAGCAGCTCCAACAGAGCCGGTACCATCTATGATTGCAGTCACAGTAGCCAGTGCTCGTGAATTCCCTTGATTCAAGGTTTGGGTACCAAGATCAGCAGCCACAGCAGTTGTGATAAGTGCATACGGCCCATTCACCAAAAAGCCCGAGAGAAACATCAACACAAGGTTGATCAACATCGAGAGGCTCCCATAAAGCCGGTAGAGAACCAGCATTGGAATTGATAGAAACAAGAATACAATAGAAGTAACAGCCCGAGCTTCAATCATGTCAGAAATGAAACCAGCCATAACTCCACCAAGAACTCCTCCAATGTCAAATATTGTCGAAAGTATTCCAGCAGATTTTTTAGATAAATGCACACCCGCAACAGCTAAAAATGAAAACCAGATTAGCTATGAAGAAAATAGCTATTTACATCACAGAAAATGTCATCAGAAAGGCAGACTGGGGGATTTACTGATTTTAGCATTTCTACGTCCTAGTAGGTAACATTGAAAACAAATTTGGGAGAAAGGAGACACTAATCAAAATAATTTTAGGCCTTAATCTATAAAAGATAGATTATCTAAGCAGCCAAGCCAATTATAACTGTTTTTTTTTTTTCTAATGTCAATATTTCACACGCACCTTTCGGTAAAACATAATGTTTGAGTTTTAAAAATAGTTTGGTCAACATAACGATATCTATTGTCTATAAACCAAATCTAAGAATCGGTCACACTAATAATGTGCAGATGCTAATAATAAGCGAGAAAAAGATAAGATCTATGTCGAAATTGATATATCAGCACATAAGAACAATTACCTGTGTGCCTAATGTAGAAGGGCAACCAATAGAGAAAAGTGTAAGCCACCAGCTTAGAGAAAAAAAGACAAAAGGCAAATGCAGCCACCCCAGGTAACATCCATGCCTCAAAAAATCCAATAGCAGATGAAGAATCTGAATCATCAGGATCAAGGAGTTTTGCGTCCTCTGATTCCATCTTTTGCACATTCTCTATTCCATCTGTTTCTACGTTCATTTCAATCTCACTTACAGAGTGCACAAATCCCATATCCTCTGGACTCGCAACAAGAAACACATACACCACAATCCCCACACAAATGATAAGAAGTCCAGGCACCACAAAGGACCAACCCCATCCAAATTCTAACACTCCAGAGGCAATTATCGAACCAATGATATTCCCCACCGAGGTATGTGAACTCCATATCCCCATTATCAAGCCCCTCTTTGATTTTCCAAACCAATTACCCACAACTGCAACCACACAAGGCCACCCTATTGACTGAAACAATCCACAAACAATTTGAACTCCAATAAAAAACCCCAACAAATGAACATCAAACCAATAGCCTAAGCCAAAAAGTATTGTAAAAATGCCACTACCCATCATCCCAAATACAAGGAACAATCTCAAGTCAATCCGATCACCAACATGACCTGCCACGAACATGCCAACGGCGTAGGAAGATAGAAAAGCGAGATCCAGCTCGCCAAGACGGTGAGTCCCCCTAGCTCCATTAAATGGAGGCCAACCTGAATCACCGGGACTGATGCTATTACCTTGAGTCGAATTGGAAATAATCGTGGGTCCCAAAACGCTCTTCACGATGCTGGGAGGCTTTCGGGAGGCATGGAAGGAAGCATAAGCAAGAAATGTAATCACCAGAACTAAGATTTGGTGAAAAAGTAGGGTTTTGTAAGGGGGCTTGAGGCTAGGGAAGAGAGTCAAAGCTGGAGCTAGACTCGAAATCTGGGACGACATCGTTATTCATTGGGGATTCACTATGCAAAATGTAGCATAAAGGCAAAAATTTATTTGTTCTTTTACACAATTATCCGCACAAGACAACCCACGATCTTCAAGATACAAAGGATGGTTATAAGATTGGGGCAGGAATCGCACGCCAATCAACTGTAACATAACATTTGGTATGAAATCTGCTGCAATTTCCTTTTCCTTTTTCCCCCCTTCCCGAAGAAGACAATTTGTTTACAAGCGCTGCGAACAAAGAGAAAAATGAGCAGCAAACAAGCGATCTGGGATTACAAGCCTGGTCCCGGACTCTATCAATACAGAAGTAGAGTTGCTCAACGGCTTCGGGTAGGTATCGGACAATGGAAATCCTTGATGGAGGGAAGGAGTTGAGAAAGGGAAATTTCAGGCGAAAAGTCAAACCCTTCGGGTTGCAACGACCTATTTCAAAACAGGTGAAATGACTTGGCGTCTACAAAACCGGCGACCATTCTACCAAAAAAAAAAAAAACCGCCACCGCGAGCGGGGATGCATTGTTTGGTGCGCAAATTTTCAAGCTCTGTTTGCCCCGCCCACATCGCTGTAATGAATTGAGAAAATCGTATTTATTCTTTTATAGACATTAAATCAAAAAAAAAAATCTATTTAGTATGTTTAATTGATAAGAAAAAAGGCCATACTTTCTATTTGTGACTTATAAAAAACTTTAAGCATCAACTTTTTGTTTTCGAAAAAAAATTAGTATCAATTTTATTATCTATCTATCTATTTATCCTCTAAGATTACAGTCAGATGATTCTACAGTAATCATCTGACCTATTTTTTTATAGTTATTAATTATTATACATTAAATAAAAACAAAAAATTATAGAGACTTTATAATATGAAATTATTACTAAAAAATTAATGTGAAATGATGAGTGGAAAAAAGATTATAGGGTATGGGACCCACAATAAAAAATGAGTGATAAATATAAAATTAATACTAAAAAATATTCTCTCCAAATTATATTACATGACATTTTTGAAAAACTTTACTTAATTTAAAATGTAGAGTATTGAGTAATTTTTATGATTGTATAGATAAATGTGGTTTAAAATTTGTAAATAATTTTATTTACTAATTTCCTTTACATTCTATTTATATTAAAAATTTAATCTTCTATTCATTTTTTAAAATTAAAATCTTCTCTCTCTTTTCTATTCAATCATATTGCAACCAAAAATTAATATTCCCTCCATTTCATTGGTATAAAATTTAGTTGGTAGAATAATATCTATATCTTTATTTAGAAAAACATACTATTGCATAATAAAAATAACGTAATAATTTTAATAGAATATCCATAAAGCCGCTGCCTTTTCCCTCTTCCTCATTGCCGTCCATCAATGTATAAGAACTCCAAAATCGCGGGCAATCAAACATGCACAACAATCATTATTCACATTTAAATGAACGGGTTTTTCTCTAATTTAATTTGATGTAACTATTCATGGGTTATCGAACAATCACATGACAAAACAATTTGAAATACTAGATTATAGAATATGAGAATTTGAATGTAAACCAAATTCAAAAATTTTTTAATTTTAAATTTTAAATCCATGTTCCATTATAACTTCTTTATAATTTTAATTTTTTTTAATTTTAGTTATTTGATATTTTTCTTGTTACAATCCTTTCTCTCTCTCTGTTTTTTCATGTTTTTATTGTCAGTATTTCTATTAATTTTGTCACTCTTCTTATTTCTCGTTCCCATTTCTCACCTACTGGAAATATAAATATAAGCTTATTATTTTTATTCTTTCATTTCTACTTCACATATAAACTCATCTCTCTTTTACGTTCATACTTTTTTACACTATCTAAACAAATAATTTTAAATATATAAATTTTAAATATAATACTTTAAATATAAAATTTAAATTTAAATTATTAATCCAAATGGTACCTAAAAAGATTGGGGGGCATTATCTTGTCTTTTAAAATATTATAATTCCACTGAAACTCCCGAAAATTTATGTGTCAATAAATTTTAAAATAAAAAAATTATTTTATTTTTATTAAAAATAATAAACCCAATCACAACTTTTATTTTATAAATTAAAAAAATTAAAACTTATTAAATGTAATTTTTGTTATTAAAAAATAAATTTTTAAAATAATAAACTTCAATCACTACTTTTTTAAAAAATAACTTTTATTCAACATATTGCAAAAATTAAATAAGAAATTACAACTTGTTAATAGGAATAAAAAGTAAAATGACTTTTTCATTTTAAAATTTATTGATATAAAAATTTTTAAGAATTTCAATAAAATTATAGTATTTTAAAAGATCATGTTACATTAATATAATTTAAAACAATTTTATTATCAATTTTTCCAAATATAAATTGCATCCACCACTGGAAATTGCAAGCATCGACTATTTCACAGGAACAACAGAATATTACAACATCCTCACCACCCGCTCTATCGTTCAAGGGTTCAAGACACAAAAAGGCTTCACCTTGCCATTTTTCCAGGTGGGAAGGAGATAAATATGGACACTTCAGTGGCATATGAGCTTGCCTACGGGACATTATAACGCTATGTCAAATTCATTTTTAAAAAAAAAAGGAAAGGGAAAAAAAATCAGATGCTACAAAGAACTTCGAACTTTGGTAGAATCATATCATCTGTTGATGAAGATCTGCGGCCTGTTGTGCCAGTTCCACCATCATAGCCTCATCAAAGAATTTGCTGATGCTAACATTCTCACTCATTCTCCGACAGATTTGAAGGCACCAATAATACATGTTAATAGATGTTCCTTCTCCAATAGCATTTCACATTTGAATAATTCACAACATTCCCTCAAATTTTGTACATCATATAAATATATAATCCTGCATCGCTTTACAGAAGCACAAAATGGCATATATGGATTTAATTATTCCCTTCAAGACGAGGATCATGAGAAAAGTAAAGAATAACAGAGCATACAATATATAGATTCTAGAAGCAGAATCCTTTAGGAAGATAAATGCAGTTCATAAAAAGGAAAGATAACTATAATGCAACCAATAATATTCAGAAATTACCAGTGAATGATGCAAATAAGAAGAGCACTATACCTTTCTACGCCTTGTTTTCACCATAAACTCGTGCGCAAGATGCTGGATTGGTGCTGCTTCAAGAGGAATGCTCTTGTCCAGGGAACAAAAGCCCAGTGATCAAAACCTGAGAGGCAAAATGCTTAACCTTGTGTGTGGTATCTAAAATCTGTCTCAATCCAAAAGACTCTATGACGGGCAAAAATGCCTGAGATAAAAGGTGAGAAAAAGTCAACAATCGAGGTTTCAAATGACAAATGCAAAATTCCCCACATCCAAAGTCTCATGGTAATTATAAATAAGCAACTTCTATGCCAACAGATCTAACCCAAAAATTCCCACCAACTTTGACAATATAAGCCGGGGTGCCTGGTTGAGGTACATCAGCTATATATAACATGTCCACGTGTTCGGGATAGCACAGTGTAGATTGCAGAAACACAGTCTATCGGGGTTTAGATCTGAAGAAACAGGTAGAAGAATAACTTTAACATGCCATCATACAAGTTTCAACTTCCCATATATCGAGTCATATCTCAATTCTCATTGTCCTCCAGAACAATTATTAATCAGTGACAAGCACAGAAATTGTTGTATTTCCTTCTATAAAGTAATATTATTCTTGTTGTACTTTACTCAGCGTGTCTCATACAATTATGACCATACTTTTAGGCTTAGAGGGCAGAAAAGTTGAACCAGACAAATATTAAAATCAAAGAGATGAGCCCCAAGCCCCCAAGGGCCAAAGGCATGGGGGTCCAGTCATCTGTTCCTAAATCCTATGCCCTAAATCCTGTGCCAAGAATCTAAGTTGAGCCTTAACAATCACGTTTCTTGCAACCTTCATAATAGTTCAACCAAAATAACAAGCATTTACCCCCACATAATATGCAGGTTCCATAAGCCTGGGTGTGGCCATAAGGAAAGATGAATAGGCCACTCGCCTTGCTGTTGGAATAATCTATCCAGATCCGCAATGGAGTGGTTCAGGGGCAATTCTTGCATCAACTATCTTAAACTTGACATTTCTGATGGGCTTGTCACACAAATGTCCCTTTCGTGCACCCCATTGAAATCTGTAAAAGAAATAACATAAATCATTGTGCAACTAATTGATCAATGAATAGCAAAATATCACACCGTTTTGCATACCCCTGAACAATGGAATCCTTCACAGCATTTAGTAGGTTCTCGTCAACTTCAGAAGGAAGTGTGCCATCTAAGAGGATATTCGGACCCTAGATGATATTCACACATGTTACCACAAAAGTTCAGGGATATAAAATAAAATTACATCTAATATTACAGTAACAAATATAACCAAAACAGAAAACAGGGATCAGAAGTAAAAGATAAGTAAGAAATGCAACCCTACATTATCTGTACAAAGCATTTATCCTTGTACCTATATGTATCCACATGCACGTGCCCCAAAAATACACAAGTATGCAGCACATAGACAAGGCAACCACAATGACAGACAGACAAACGGAAATTTTACCTGCTTGTCAGGGCCGAATGCCCAGATTGACCATGCAGCAAGGAGATCCCAGTCATACTTTGTCCGAAAAAATTCACCTAGTTTCTTTCTGTTCCAGTCAGTACTAACAACTCCATTCTCTATGTCCTCAGCAAGACCTCTTTCCAAGGGCTCTGCAATCTAAAAACTGAATGAAGTTAGCTTGAGCAAAGTCTAGTCAATACAGTATTCTTGATGAAAACCAACGTCAAAATCATGTAGCTGCCTACCGTAGTTATTTTATTCTTCTTGTTGGGAGTTTCAGCAAAGCATTTCATTGATGAAGATTCAACAACAGTTTCACAGAATGAGACAACAGGATCAGCAACCTAAATAGTCAAGCCAAGAACAAACTTCAACAAAAAGAATAGATCTAAAAATCAAGTCTTTAGCCAATATAGAGAATGATAGGGAAATTGAAAATGGGTAAACATTAAACAGAATAACAGATGACCTTGACTTCTACTTCAGAATAGAGCTCTCTCAGGTCCTTCATAATTGAATCCAAGTAGAGCTCACCAGTCCCTAACACAATGTGTTCTCCAGACTCCTCAACTTTAGTAACTGCTAAGGGATAACTCTTGCTGATTTTTCTGAGGCCCACCACCATTTTTGGCAATTTACTTGGATTTAATGGCTCAGTAGCTGTTTTCACCACTGAAAGTATTGAACTGAAGTTGTCTGAATATATACACATCTTTATCATAATCCATGTTACAAAGAGTGGCAGTTTTCATGATCGAAGCATCCACACCTTCAATGAGAACCCAGGAACCAGGAGAAGCCTCAGCTATTGGCATCCTATCTCGAGCCTGATACAGTCATAATTTTGTTACTTCTTTAACAGTCATATCCTCCTCATCATCTGGTGAATAGACTTCTCCCAGAACACGTACATTCTGGCCTGTCTGTATCTTGCCACTATAAACTCTACCAAAGGCA